TAGTAGTGGGGAGAGAGACACTGTGAAGCCCAGGGTGGTTAGGGGACATACCCAAGGACACATAGCTAATAATTGAGAGAGCAATATCTCTTCATCCTGCTCATGAGTGTGCGTGTAGACTGTGGATAAGGTACAGACCATAACTGAGCTGTATTTCCAAATACAGAAAAAGGAAGTTAGGTGAAGGAGAATGAACAAAGCATTTGTAAATCACTTTACCCAGTGCCTGGCACATGGTGAATTCTCAGTAAATGTTAGCAAGTATTATTATCCCAATATAAACTCTTTGAGAACTTTCTTTTGGGAAAAATGTTAACGACCCATTATTTCTTGTGAGATGCGAAGTTATTGACTTATCACTGCTGAGCTTGGCATGTTGAGCTCTGTTTCTGTTTATTAATGTGATGAGGTTACTTATGGAGAGTGAGGGTCCCTGCTGTGTGTGGCAGTAATTATCAGCATTGCTGCGTGGCTCTAGGAACTGATTGCTAGCAAGTGCTAGGATTTTTTCTTTCTTTTTTTAAAAATCTCGTTATATAGTTTCACAATCATTTTGTTCCATAGTGAGATGAAAAGAATTTAGCTGCCTTCAGCTGGAGCTGAATGGAAAAGGAAATTATAGAAATCACTGACAGTAGTGCCTGGCTAGAGTAGGATTGTTTTCTACTGAATATTTGAAAGTATTTTGTCCAATCTAATTTTGAAAGACTCAAGTCGCTGGGCTTCCATTGCTTTCCTTGGGAGCTGTAATTACATGGCCTAATAGAGCTCAGTGGTGGAACATTTTCTCTAGCTGATACTGGAGCAATAGATGTATTCACAGGAGGCCTGGTCAATGCGCTTTTCAAAATGAGACTTAGAGAAGGGACACAAACATGTTTTGCTCACTCAGGAAAATACTCATTTCCTGCTACCAAAAGATGTTTCTTTGGTCCATCCTGCTGGCATTGAACCCCGATTTGCTACATATGGGACTTTCTTTAACTTTGTATTCTGGAGACTCCTAAAAATACACCAAAAAAGGCAGAACAGTATAGTGAACACCTGTGTGCCCAAAACCAGCCCCTACAGCCTTCAACCAGTGGCCAATTCCACCCCATCCACATGCCCATCTACATGCCTATCTACTTTGCCCCCTCTGATTATTTTGGAACAAAACTTATGTCATTTTTTAAAATTCTGGTAACATAAACTTAACATAAAATTTCCCTAAATTTTAGCTACTTTAGAATGTATAACTCGTGGCAATTAAGTATAGTCACAATGTTATGCAACCATCGTGACTGTCTAGTGCCAGAACATTTTCATCACCCCAAAAGGAGACTGTGTACCCATTAAATAGTCATTCCTTTTACTCCCTACCCTCTGTCCCTGGCATCCACTAGTCTACTTCTGTCTCTATGGATTGCCTATTTTGGATATTTCATATAAACGGAATCATACAATACATGGCCTTTTTTTGGCCTGGCTTCTCTTTTACTTAGCATTGTGTTTTCATGATTCATCCATGTATCATGCATCAGTATTTCATTCGTTTCCATGGCTGAATAATATTTTGTTGTATGGATATTCCACATTTTGTTTATCTCTTCTTCTGTTGATGGACATTTTGGTTATTTCTGTTGTTGTCTACTGTGAATAGTGCTACTTTGAACATTCATGTACAAGTTTTTGTTTGAACACCTGTTTTCAATTCTTTTGAGTATACATCTAGAAGTGGAATTGTTGGGTCTTGTATCAATTCTGTGTCTAACTTATTGAGAAACCCATTAACTGTGCACCACAGTGACTGCACCATTTTACATTCCCATTAGCAGTGTATAGAGGTTCCAATTTCTCCACATCCTCACAAATACTTGCGATTTTCTGCCTTTTTTCCCCCTTGTTATATTAATATCCATCCTAGTGGTTGTAAAGTGGTATCTCATTGTGGTTTTGGTTTGTATTTTCCTAATGACCAATGACATCAAGTGCCTCTTCATGTCATTGTTAGCCATTTGTATATCTTCTTTGGAAGAATGTCTATTCAAGTCCTTTGCCTATTTTTAAATTGGGTTGCTTGTCTTTTTGTTATTGAGTGGTAAGTGTTCTTTATATATTGTGGATAGTAGACCTTTATCAGATATATGATTTGCAAATACTTTCCCATTCTGTGGGGATAAATACTTATCCCACTCTCTTGATATTATCCTTTCATTGACAAATGTTTATAATTTTGATAAAATTAATTTTTTCTATTTTTTTATTTTGGTGCTTGTAGATTTGTTGTCATATCTCAGGAGCCATTGCTAAATCTAAGGTCAAAGGAAGTTACCCCTGTGGCTTTGCCTTAAAGTTTTATAGGGTTAGCTCTTACATTTAGGTCTTTGATCCATTTGGAGTTAATTTTTTTGTATAGGATATGAGGTAAAGGTTTAACATCACTTTTTGCATGTAGATATCCAGTTGTCTCGGCATTATTTATAGAAGAAACTGTCATATAATTTTATCCACAAGTATTTCAGCATTTTTCTTTAAAAGATAAGAACTTTTTTTTATAAAACCACAGTACCATTATTATACTTTAAAAATATTAACCAGATTTCTTGAGTATCCTCAAATATCTAACTCTGTATTCAGAACTGTAATTATCTCGAAAATTTTAACATCTCTTTTTTAAAAAAAAAACCAATGTCTAAATAAGGTGCACCCATTGCAATTTGTTGGTATATCTTTTTAAGTGTTTTGAAATCTATAGGTTTTCTTTCCATTTCTTTTTTTCCTCCCTTGCCATCTATGTATTGAAAAAACCTCCTTGTCTTGACTAATATCCTGGTCTAGATTTTGTTGAATGTATCCCCAGGAGGTTACATGTTCCTCAGCTCTCTGAATCTCTTGTAAATCAGTGGTTGGAGCTAAGCTTGATCAGATTCAGATTTTTGTTTTTATTTTTTGGCAATACTACTTCCTAGGTAATGTGGGTTCTTTTATCGAGGCAAATTATATTTACTTTTTTAAAATGTTAACAGTCGTTGATGATCACTGCCTGAGTCTGCTAGCTTATTAAGAGGCACACAATAGTGGCATTCTAATTCTACCATGTTTTCTTCATTTACTACATGGAATACCTACTTTTGATGAAGAGAAACTGTCCCTCTTTTATTATTCAACTACCCAGTGGTAAGATTTGTGTTAAAAAGGCAGTATAAACTCTTCAGTCTTTCCTTTTATTTGTCAGCTCTCAAAATAAGTTGGTTCGTTATTTTCTTCTAACAGTGCCAGTCATATTCTTTGGAGGGGGGTGACTTTATTCAGGCATTTAATTAAGAACATTTAAAGTGCTTCTTCACATTACAGCTATTATTCTTATCGATGCTCAAATTATCCCGCCTTTCGCCACTTGGAGTCTCTTCAAAATGAATCCTTTTTGACATGATGTTGGGTCTTTGGTAGTTTCTGGGCTATTACGTATTGTAATTTACCAAGTTTTATCTGGTTGGAATGTAGTCTACTTATGGAACTTCCCAAATTTCCTTATAAACACTTACAGATCTTGCAACTTCCCTGGCTTCTTAGAGAAGGTGGAAAGGTTTCCTTAGCCTTTGTGGAATCATAAGAAAAGTCAGAACAGGCTTTGGAAACTTATTCATGAAACTCATTTCATGAAATTGTATTGGGTTTCTATTAGGTATACAGAGAAAAAGAAAAAAATAATTTCTGCCTGAAGATTTTGCAGCCTGGTGAAGTTATCTTTTAGGACGTGGAAACATAGTGCTGATATCAGGAATGTAGATTTGGACAAAGCCAAAGCCATCAATGTGATTTTATTGAGGATCTGTTTAGTTCTGTCTCTATTACCAAGTCAGGAGTTGATTGCTAGTTATTATAAATTCTTTTTATATAATCATAAAAAATATGTAAGTACCTAATAAGGTGACCTTTGTTGAAGATATTTTTAAAGGTGAAAGTCTGGAAATGGATGTGTTTTTCTAAGCCTAGAAAAATGCATGTAAAAGCACATAGATGATTCTTTTTTTTTCATATGGTCTCTACATCCCATTAAGTAAGGGCGATGTTTATTTTCTGCCTATTTTATAAGTTGCTAAGTACTGTAATGAGTTTATATTTATAGAGTGCTTGGAGCTTTTGGATGAAAGGTGCTAAATTAGAGTTTATTGTTTATTGAATTTATTTGATGTGCCCAACCTCCTGGGAACATTCGCTGAAGTTAATTAAAAACAGATAGTCCCCACACTGACAGCTTACAATGCCACTTACAAACCAATAACATAAACAGTCTGCACTTCTGTAACCCTAGGTTGGGACACATAGAGAACCATAGTTCTTTCTGATAGGGGAATAAACCTAATTTATGTGAAAATTTGACTGATGAGCAAAAACAGAGAGGTTATTAATTTTGTCTGAGCCATCTACCTACTCCCATTTAAAAAAAAAATACTTAGAGGCTGGGTACAGTGGCTCACACCTCTAATCCCAGCACTTTGGGAAGCCAAGGTGGGCGGATCACAAGGCCAAGAGAAACACTGTCTACTAAAAATACAAAACTTAGCTGGATGTGGTGGGCCCCTGTAGTCCCAGTTACTCAGGAGGCTTAGGCAAGAGAATCGCTTGTACCAGGGAGGCAGAGGTCACAGTGAGCCAAGATTGCACCACTGCACTCCAGCCTGGCAACAGAGCAAATCCCTGTCTCAAAAATAAAAACAAACAAACAAACAAAAAATAACTAAGAATATGGAGAGTTTCCTCGACTTCCAACTATAACTTACAGGTTGAAAAAATTAAAAATAGTCTTTCTTCTCTATCATTTTGGGAGTAAATGAAGGTAAAAGCATATGTGTTTTATATGTTGTTTTATATGTGTTTTATATGTTGTTTTATGATTACTTTTTCTTTGCAGGAAGGGCATTCCAAACTAGCCGATTACTTGTGCTTTCTTACGCCAACTTGATAGAATCTGTGAAGCATCGTTAAAATAATGGTTTGTTTGCTTCCTTTGCCAGTTGGTGATGGAATTTTGTGGTGCTGGCTCTGTCACCGACCTGATCAAGAACACGAAAGGTAACACGTTGAAAGAGGAATGGATCGCGTACATCTGCAGGGAAATCTTGCGGGTAGGTTACAAGTGGGGTCTGGTCCACCTCCCAGATTCTTCAAGCAACACATGATCTCTTAGGAGGGACTGAACTTTGTTCTGACTTTCTAATGAAATTCATAAGCATATCAAAAACGCTTTAAAAGTTTATCCTGTCGGTGGAGGTGGTAGTTTGGTGTGAAGGTCTGCCCTAATGGATGTGAGAGCCATTCTGGAGATGAGCGATGAGCATCTTTTCATTTAGGTTGACATTGGGTGATTTCACTTAAAAAGGGATTCATTTTGAATGCTGTTTCCAATCAGAAACCTGATTTTAGATCATAAATACAGTGTTCCACTTAGGAAATGAATTATTTTAAGAGAAATTTTGATCACTCATTTATCTGTTTGTGAAAGTTAATAACTAGTATATTATTCTTAACGGGGTAATACCTTCCCAGCATATAAAGTTTATAAGGATTGTGTGACTTTAGTCATTCCTATACATACAACCTAGTTTAACTGACTTTACCTTTAAAAAAAATCTTTGAGACCCAATCACTTAAACTAATCAAAATAGCAGAACAAGACTGCCTGTTTGACCAGTTGGCCCACAAATGCCCCAACCAGGAAATCTAGACAATAGTGTTATATTTGCTGAACTGAGTTCAGGAAAAAGAAAGTAATTGGGTATATTTTAGTTCATTCAGACTAGCTTAATCATCCCTTCCTGCTAATATGGAGGTTATAATATGTCTACCGAGCATTCTTACTGGATCTTCCTGGCCATTAATTTTTATTTATAAGCTCTGCCTTCTTAGTTTAAGTGAACAAAAGTTAAAACTTTTTAACTGTGTGTTCAAGATATGCCTTTGAAAGATAGATTATATGCTTTGGGTGGATGGATGAAATGGATACAACTTAAAAACGAACGAAGGCATAAGAAGATGATGTTTGTTCATTAAATCAAACCAAATTAGGCAAAAGACAAATAGAAAATGGAATTTTAAAATTATAACATTGATGTGAATGACTTCTATCCTGAAAATGACAAAATATTACTGAGAAATATTAAAGAAGACCTTAATAAATGGAGGTGTATATGATTTCACAGATTTGAATACTCAGTATTGTAAAGATGTCATTTCTACCCAGTTTGATCCATGGTTTCATTGAACTTCCAGTTTAAATTCCTATAGGCATATTTGTGGAAATTGATAAAGCTGATTTTTTAAAAAAAATTATATAGAAATGCAAAGGGCCAAGAATAACCAAGGCAATCTTGAAGAACAAAACTTCAAGAGGAGGATTTATGCTACCAGTTATCAGGATTTGTTATAAAGCTACTGATAAATTAAGACAGAGTAGCATTATTACAAGATGAGACAATGGCCAAAGGAACAAAATCAAGGGTCCAGGAACAGACCCACATCATATGGACACCTGGTCTGTGACAAAGGAAAGGGTGCTTTTTATCAGTAAGTAGGACTTGATCAATTGAATATCTGTAAGAAAACATGAAACTTGACAACAGCTACATACCATATTCAAAAATTAATTCAATCTGGGTTATAGATGTAAATGGGAAAAGTGTAAAAATTAAAGCTCTTAAGAAAAGACCTCCATGGCTTGGGGTAGGCAAAAATATAAATTATGTATTTTGTGTTCTTATACAGAACACAAAACAAAATTTGAGGAAAAGCAATGTCCTTCACATCTGATGTATGTTTTGATTTTGCAAACTTACTTTGAATTTCTGACTTAAAATTTTGCTCAGTCAGGTAGAGCCTGATGGATTATTTAATCATTCTGACCACTCAGTGGGTGCCAAGAACCTGTCAGGCCTCTAGGGATGGTTCTGCCCAGTGTGCCTTTCTGCACTGCTGGGGAACCCTGCAAGGGAGCAGTCATCTGATCTAATCTTCATGGTTCTAAAAGTAGCAGGGATGTTTCATCACATGAGCATCTTTCAGTACCTTTCAATGTGTGAAAACAGTGGTATTCCTCCTTTTTCCAATACACTCTCTGGAATGATATCAGCATTTCAGACATGACTCACTGGAAGAGACATTTGATCACCCAAAGGTCTCTGGCCACAAGAGGTTTTAGAGACGACCTCCATGCATTGTATGATCTAATTAAAAGAACTTTTGGCTCACTTCCATGCTCTATTTCTGCTTTCAACCACTTCAGTGGTGAAAGAGGGAAAGGGATCTTCAGTCCCTCTCTTAAGGATTCATGGGGTACGTAAATACTGTGAAAAGCACACATTTAAATCTGCCAGATTCCTACCTTGTGACAAACTGAACAGATAAGAAGGGCAATTTTTTAAGACCTAAACTAGTGCCTCAAACCCTTCTATAACATAGTTTATGTTTCCTGATATTTCTAAATGTATATATGGGTCTTTTTGGACATCTATAATGTCCTGAATTTCTTTGACAAGAGAATTCAGATATCTAGTTTTGTTTCTTTTTGTGTCAACTTCATTTTTCATACCATGGTTTTGTTGTTATGGAGAAAAATTAAAAGAGCAAAGAAGTATAAATAATAAAGTGATAACACTTGGGTACCCAATGCCTTGAATTATCAAGTGTTAACATAAAATAATTTAAGGCTCCAATTTTAGATTCTTTTAGATTATAATTTATCTGAAAACTATGTGACTACTTTAGAGTAAGTCTGTAGGTTAAAGAATTTGCACCACAAAAAAAGCCAAAAACAGAGTAATTCATGAAGAAGTGGAACACAAACAGGTTTAGTTGTCACTGAATAATTATCTCACATAATGAGCACAAAGTCACAAATAGAATAAACTAGCATAAACTAAAAATGACAGTGATAAATGCCAACAAAGGAAATAGAAATTGTATTCCCTTTTAAATGTGAAGCATACTGGCTACAGCCAGTGGGAAATTTCTTGGCTGGTCTGAGAAATATTTTACTGTGCTTAATTAAAATTGTATAACTAGGCCAGGTACTGTGGCTCACACCTGTAATCTCAGCACTTTATCATCTAAGCTCAGGAGTTAAAGACCAGCCTGGCCGACATGGTGAAACCCCGTCTCTACTAAAATAAATTAACTGGGCATGGTCATGGGCATCTGTAATTCCAGCTACTCTGGAGGCTGAGGCAGTCGCTTGAACCTGGGAGGCAGAGGTTGCAGTGAACCAAGTTCGTGCCATTGCATTCCAGCCTGGGCAACAGAATAAGGCTCCATCTCAATCAATCAATCAATCGATCATATAACAAAAAGTAAATTTTAACTTTTAAATTCAAATATTGCCAAAAATCCTGCAGGGATTCAGTTAAATCAGGTTAGTTTTCTGTACAGAGACTGTGTAGATGGTTCTTTTTCAAACTAGCAAATACAAGCAGTCCTTGCTTTTCACAGTAGTGTTAACTGAAACACATGTTCATGTCGGAACCATATTGTCACTTGCGTGGTTCCCTGATACCTGATAATCAGATCTGATATGCAAGCATTTCATTAAACACAGCGCCATGCATTGCAAGGACTGCCTATGTATTTTAATTTGTATTGATCAATTACCTACAGTTAGAAGAGTACTATGAACACATGAAAGATGTGATTATAATTCTGAAAAGTATGTCTGGGTGAGTGTAAATTTTTTGGATCATTAACATTCAAAATAATTTATTTGCATCTTGGTTTATGTTCCTATTAACCCTTCTTGACTCTCCATCACTCTAGGGGCTGAGTCACCTCCACCAGCATAAAGTGATTCATCGAGATATTAAAGGGCAGAATGTCTTGCTGACTGAAAATGCAGAAGTTAAACTAGGTAAGAGCAGAATCCTGTGAGCTTTGGTATTGCAGGAAGTGATGTGATTATACCAACAGTTTTAAAAAATTAATGTTAATTTGTCACTGTGGAGGGCATTGCCCTAAAAATAGAAAGGAAAATATTTCTTTGTCTATTTAAAACAATATTTTCTCAAGGCATTCTGAGGAACGAATATATATATGTAATGTAGGAACAGAACCATTTGCTTAATCAATATGTAGAAATAATTGAGACTTTTTTGTTTCAGTAGAGATTAGAAGTGACAAACTTTTAAATGGGCTCCTCTGTTGTTTATATTGTTGCTGCTACAACAGATCACTAGGGCCCAATTTTTTTTTCATTAAAATATACACAGGCATATTCAGAATAATCAATTCCTGGTATAGTACCATAGGTTTAAATTATATTTACATTGGTTTTGTTATTACCTTGGGCTCCTGTGCAAAATGGATGCTCAATATTCTACTTTAGGTGCATACTGATTATCCCCACATCCATCAGTCGGAGAATCGTTTTCTTTGGCATCTCCATTAGAGCTTTTTCCGCAACAAATCTGGGACTGTCCAAATAAACTAGAGAGTTACCACGTGCATTTTCTTGCTTGATGTGTATGAGTAAGAGCACGAATTGACAAATATCCAATAGGATATTTGACTTGTCATCTAGCAAAGGATCACTGTCCACATGATTGTATATTTTCAAAGAGATTTAAACATCTTCTATGTTTATGTCCCAAACATTTGCTCTTTCTTCTTGTTGAAATATATGATTTCCATTTTTTTCTTAGTTAGCATTTGGGGCCAAACTTTCTCAGCTCATGAATATTCTCTTTTAAAAACAAAAGTATGCATTGTGTAGGCTAAGCAGTTATATATGTACCAACTAGGTAAGCTATCCTGAGAGCACTCTTGCATCCCTAATTAATAGTTACTTGTTAAGTGTATATTCTATGCCAGGCCCTGTACATGACCATTTTCCATAGATTATCTCTCATAAACATCAGAGCAACTCTATGCAGATATCATCCTCATTTTACAGAGTAGGAAATCGGACCTCAAAGAGGTTCATCTACTAGCCTAGGTCATACCACTAGTAGGTGGCAGAAATGAGATACAAACTTAGGCAGCCTGACTCCAGACTTTTGCTTTTAATCATTTTTCTTGTATCCCCAAAAATACTACCCTTTATGACAACCAAGCTTACTTTTTTCTATAACACCTATTTTTGGTCCCTGTGGAGCCTTGGTGTAACCAAACATAATTCTTTGCGCCTTCCTCATTGGTACGCTTCATCCATTTTTACATGCAGTTTAAAAACATATATTCATAGCAAGAAAAGGTAGAAGCAACCCAGGAGCCCATCAGCAGATGAATAGATAAACAAAATGTGATCCATACATACAATGAAATATTATTTGAGCTTGAGAAGGAAGGAAATTCTAACACATGCTACAATGTGGACGAACCTCGAGGACATTAGGCTAAATGAAATAACCCGTCACAAAAAGACAAATACTGTATGATTCCACTTATACAAGGTAGTGAGGATAGGCAAATTTATAGGTATGGAAAGTAGAATTATAATTGCCAGGGGCTGGGGCAAGGGGAAATTGGGAGCTATTGTTTAATAGGTTCAAAGTTTCAGTTGGGGAAGATGAGAAATTCTGGAGGTTAGTGGTGATGGTGTACAACAATGTGATGTACTTGGTGCCCCAGAAATGTACATTTTAAAATGGTAAAATTGTAAACTTTGTTATGCATATTTTACCACAATAAAATAATTCATTCATTGTATCACCATATAAAACCTAAGATCATAGACTTGACTTACTTGTCTTCTCTTAAATAGTGGACTTCGGAGTCAGCGCCCAGCTTGATCGAACAGTGGGCAGGAGGAATACTTTCATTGGAACTCCCTACTGGATGGCACCAGAAGTTATTGCCTGTGACGAAAACCCAGATGCCACATATGATTTCAAGGTATGACTTCTCTGTTATGTTTCAAAACGATGCCTACCATCTTATCCGGGGTCATGCAGTTGGAGAATTCTCACATGCCTTTATATTTATGATTTATGTGATCCCAAGGGAAAACTGAATAACATTATTTGAGTTTAAGACTTATAAGACATTCAAGTGAGGATCTTTTTTTTCTTTTCTTTTTTATTATGCTTTAAGTTCTGGGATACATGTGCAGAATGTACAGGTTTGTTACATAAGTATACACGTGCCATGGTGGTTTACCGCACCCATCACCCCGTCATCTAGAATAGGTATTTCTCCTAATGCTATCCCTCCCCTAGTTCCCCATCACACCACTCCACTGAGTGTGTGATGTTCCTCTCCCTGTGTCCATGTGTGCTTCAAGTGAGGATCTTTTTAATGAATTCACCTATCATATCTGATTGCCTTTTTGAAAAAAAAAGTTTAAATCATTTTCTATATATTTTTAAAATTTACTCTTATTATTATTGGAAAATAGATTAGATGTCCATTTTGGTTATGGTTTAGGTTTTTGGAAGATTATTATGATAGCTTTTTATGTTAAACTAAGGTGTTGTTGTCTTGAGTCATCTTTTTCTGATTGAGGATAATCAGACTCACTCGTTTCTACAATGCTCAAAGTATAATTATCTGTTTTTTTTAATGAGAGGGAATCAAATGGAATATTGGTGACTGCTTTATAGTATTTCTGTTGTGTGGCCTGATGTTTCATAGAGATTTGACTTGTGACTTTTTACTTTATATTATAAGCTAGAAATTTGCTAATAAATTCAAAGCTGTGTTCAAGTAGATTTCTCCAAGAAGCGCTTCTCTTTTCTGTTCTGCTAGCTGATAATCAAACATAATTTTGGGTTATTGCCCTTCAGTTTTATTGTCTGGACTGTCAGGTGGCATGACTTTCTAATAAACTGTGACTGAAAGTCAAGACAATGAAAGTGGGGGTAGTGGAATCTAGGAACTGTGTGTGGGTTTCCAGGCTATGCATTCGATAGAGAGACACCCTGTGGTCTTTGTGTACATTACAGGACAATTTGGGCAAAACTTGATCTACCCGGGCTGGTTTCAGAGGTGCATGAACTTTATACTAAAACACTTTAATGATCCTCTGCAAATACTCTTATCTTACAGATGAAGAAACTGAGGCAGAAGTCTGCAGGTGCTCACCCGGTTAGTGATCTTCTCAGAGGTGGCACCTGAATGCAGGTCTCCAAACTTTCTGATCAGAGCTCTTTCCAATATATTAACTTGCTCCTCTGTATTGTACTTCCATATACATCTCCAATTTACCAACTGAACAGTATATTTGAAGAATTTCACTTTTAAGGAATATTTTTAGTTCTCGACATGTGGGGCTATTGTTGAAATCAGGTCTCAAGGATGCAAACATTGCAGCGTTTTTGAGGCCTCATATCTCAGTGTTGACAGAAAATTTGCCTCTTTGGGGAATTGCCAGCTTGGGGGTCTGAAAACAAAATAATCCCCCATAATTTTTCCTCCTTCCTTCAAAGTGAGTCACTGTAATAACCTGACAACCATCTGTCTGAAAACAGCTGCCAAGTTAAAAATTAATCTCCTGCCAAAATAAGTGTCATTTATTTAAAATGCTAACAATAAGCATATTTAAATAATTCCATTTGCAAATCCCTTCAGAAAAGACACCACAAAATATACATCCGAGGCCAGATATGTGTATCATGATTAGCTACAAGCAATTCTTCAAACCATAGTTATACTAACAAGTGCTAACTAGCCTACATCTGGGCCACAGATATTCTAGACTGCTGTGTAACATACCATGGGGAATCAGTGTTTGCAGCTTTTGCCCTCAGCTTAATCTTTTTGTTTTTTTTTTTTTTTGAGACAGAGTTTCACTCTTTTTGCCCAGGCTGGAGTGCAATAGCGCAATCTCAGCTTGCCACAACCTCTGCCTCATGGGTTCAAGCAATTCCCCTACCTCAACCTCCCAAGTAGCTGGGATTACAGGCATGTATCACCACTACCAGCTAATTTTGTGTTTTTCGTACAGACGGGGTTTCTCCATGTTGGTCAGGCTGGTCTCGAACTCCTGACCTCAGGTGATCCTCCCACTCAGCCTCTCAAAGAGCGGGGATTACAGGCATGAGCCACCTAGCCCAGCCCCTGTGCTTAATCTTTTAAGTAGTATGATTGACTCCATCATATATGGGACCTTTGCTGTATAAATAAAGTAGGTGCCTACAAACTGACTTGTTTTCAGTAGGGCACCTAGAAGAGGCTTTCCTTCTGGCCAAGCCAAAGCTTGGAGGTAAACTGATATTTGGGTCCTCTCTCCTCAGACTATGGCTAAGGACTATGGTTTAAGATCATTGTAAAAGGTATGAGAGCAGTGCAGAGCTCTAGGTATGGGCAAAGCCCGGTGCATGGGTAACCACAGAGGTCATAATGTTGCACAGTGATTTCAGAGGCACTGGGAGGTTCACCTGGCTATAAAAGTATCCTGAGACATTAAAACGATTGAAGATGGAACCAACCCAAATGCCCATCGATGATAGACTGGACAGGGAAAATGTGGTACATATACACCATGGAATATTATGCAGCCATCAAAAACGATGAGTTTGTGTCCTTTGTCGGGACATAGATGAACCTGGAAACCATCATTCTCAGCAAACTGACAGAAGAGCAGAAGATCAAACTCTGCATGTTGTCACTCATAGGCGGGTGTTGAACAATGAGAACACATGGACACAGGGAGGGGAGCACTACACACTGGGGTCAGTTGGGGGGAAATAGGGGAGGGATGGTGGGGGGTTGGGAGTTGGGAAGAGATAGCAAGGGGAGAGATGCCAGATGTCGGTGATGGGGAGGAAGGCAGCAAATCACACTGCCACGTGTGTACCTATGCAACAATCTTGCATGTTCTTCACATGTACCCCAGAACCTAAAATGCAATAAAATAAATAAATGGGAAAAAAAAGATTGAAGATGAATCTGTGTGTATTTTATTAAAACATAAAGGATCCTGATAGAATAGGTTCAATTGCATCAATCATTTAGACCTTAGTGCAAATTAATTTAACAGGATTGTCATAAGGGTAGGTTGTGCACGAGGAGGAAAAAGTCATGGTAGAAATATGAGCTTCATTGGTTATTTGCTATGGGTAAGGAGAAGAATGGCAAAAGAATGACTAAGGAAGACTTTTCTTCAGAGGGGTTTATCATATTGAATTATTTTACGTTTTAAAAAAATTCATAGTGGGCTTCAAAGACATCTTAGACAAATCAAATAGTAAATAATCAATAAATAACAAATCAAATAACAATACCGTACCATACTCTGTTGGGGTACAATGGAAGGTTTGGGGATTCTTTGCAGATTCATTTCATCCATTTAGACAGTTTTACTGTGGGCCAGAGAAGATGCTAATCTTTAAATACCCTTACTTCTTCTTTCTTGGCACCATATATTATCCGCTTTTCTGTTTAAGATTCTTAAGACTGTGACGTGTCACCAGGGGACAGCCTGACAAAATGCTGACTTTCAAAATTATGTATTCATTCACTTAGTGCACATTTAGAGACTTTCCATTGTGTATAAGTAATTAGTCAAGCTATATCTGTGAATGCAGTTTCTGATAGAAGGTTCATTTGAGACCCCATCAAAGCCCAAGGACCCAGCACTGTGTGTTTGGTGGTCCGCTTGGCCCAGTGGTGTATCCCAGCCCCAGAAAGTTGATGTCAACACTTTGGGCCCTCATGTGCCATAGCCACTCTCAGCTGAGAGTGTGGATTTAGAATAAGGGATGACTTGGCCACTGGACTTCATTAGATTTCTTACCACAAAAGTCCTTCCTGTAAAATAAAGGCAAGAGGCAAAAGAAAAGAGTATAGCCTAGTTTTGTTATTTGATTTATTATTTATTATTATTTGATTTGTCTAAGATGTCTTTAAAGACTACTATAACTTTTTATAAAACCTAAATTAACCCAACAATATAAAATCTTCTGTAACAGAGTAGTCTGAAGAGCTCCTGTTTTTTATCCCAGAGTCTGGTTTTGCATGATATCTACTGGGCACAGTAAGTGACTCACTGAAAATAGACCCTCTCCTAAGGAGGAGCGCCAGAATCTCATTTGCCTAGTGTGCTGGCTTTCCCCTGGAGGCCCTTCCTTTCTTGTTTTCAGAAATTCTGTCAAAACACTTCAAGTGAAAGGAAAGGTTTCATTTCCCTGATAAGTATGTAGGGCAATAATGAAAGCTTTCCCATTTAATAATAAGCATTCAAAAGATTTGAAATTAATAAAACTGTTCAAAATGCCTAGGCTGTTTAAATTTTTTTTAACCTACTTTGAATTTCATTTTGGTTGGATGGGATCTGCCAAGCATTTTATAGTCCTGTGTATTTATTGCTTTAACAGAAACACCCACTAAGAAAGTTCTGTGGCTGAATGCCACAGTATAGTACACATAATGTAGTGTTATTCACCCCTCCTACCCCGTGGAGACAGGCAGACGGATGGACGGACAGACAGACAGACAGACAGACACACACACACACACACACACACACACACACACACACACACACACACACGGGAAATCTATAAAGAACCTGGAAAAACTTAATAGCATTTATTTTGGATAGGGCATGTGGATGGAAAACTTGGTTTTTATTTTCCATATCTTTCTGCCCTGTTACGTGTTTTTTTTGTGTGTGTGTGCGCCGTAAACAGGACTTGCTCTCATGTTAAGCCAATGAAGTAAGAGATGCACAGTGAAATGGCGTGCCCCCTCATCCAACTCCCCACCAGATTCCTGTCCTCAGGCCCGATCTGTACCAATGTTGTTTATTATCTGCCCAAACTCTGTTTATGAGACTTTCACACAGGTGCTGCAGATTATTTGCAGACATGGGTGTCTCCTCTCCAGGGTTTGGGTGAATATTGTGCTCTTGCTGTAGAGAAAGTACTCTTTTCCCCTGTGTCACAGATAATTGG